TAGTACTGATGCGTAGTAAGTCTCAACTCCGTCATATCAGTCATACAAAAAATTCATTCCAATTGAAAATTCGTACTATCACGTGATTCTCGTGGGTGAAAAAAATTATTTCTCAGCTAGCAATCGACAAAGAACTGGTTTGCGTGTACAGATAAAGTGCTGCAAGTCGTTAAATAAATGGCAAGCATTCGAGAATGGTAGAACATTACTGATGAGTGTCACGACAATCATTTGCGAACGCAATTTGCACGTTACGATACTCGTTAAGAAGTTATTACCGAACGTACGTTTACGTTACTAATAAAAAACTATTTCTTCTAAATATTTAAGTAAAAGAGTAATCTATATAATATGAATCACAGACGAGGTATGAATGATTAGAAGGCATCATTGGGTCGTATCGTATCGATCTTATCGCGTTAAACGATACTCAAACATTTCCAAACATCGTCAAAAATGGTCATGGAAAGTTTAAAACCGACCCTTTCACGAACGCAGGTTTTCCTCAGTTTCACTTTGCTCTTCGACGAATTGCTTTCTAACGACGTCGACCAATTTCGACGCGCGTGCTCTCGTGTCGAATCGACTCGAGAATGCAATTCCGAGCCGAACGATTTCTAAATCACTCCGCCGAAACTCGAATACGCCAACGGCACTAGCTTTTCCCTCGACGAGTTGACTCTTTCGACGATTTTCTAACGACGTTTCAGTTCGCCATTTCACTCGAATCGAATCGAAACGAAACGATGGGAACAGGTGTTCGCGCTCGTACACGTACACGTGGCTTCTCGTGTTCAACGAGACACGAGGACGCCATGTCTCGTCGCCGGCCAGGAGAAAGTAAAAGGGACAATAGATATTCATTGTGCGCGTTAGAAGGCGGCGGGTTACACGATCTTGGGCGATTTATTATCTTGTATTACGACGCTTTTCCATTCCTCCCTTCTGATTTCACCGTTTCTTCATTATTTTGGGACAAACCAGTTGAATCAGAACTGAAGTTTAGCAACTCTTGAGAGTCTCCGAATATTCGTTTAACGAGAAAGTGATGTAAAATCTTTTATCTAACTTTTAATTTAACGCTACATTTCAAAAGCTTGAACCTCATTCCGCTTCCACCTTCGACATTATTGCATTTTACAGGACTTCCATTTCATCTCTAGTTATTATTAGTTTTTCTTTTTTTTTATTATACTTGAAGTAACGTCTTACTGTATGATTATCTTCTCAATCGTTTTAATATCAGTTATTGTGATCTGGTCAAGTGTAAAATATTGAAACGTTTATATCGCACAATCTACTGTATTTATTATTAATCTTCAATTTGAAGAATGTACATTTCAAACTCCATGAGGCTATAATTCACTCATTCAAGTCGATATTTATATCATGCTTCGTTTTACAAGACAAGGGGACAACGGAGAATGTTTGCGTTGACAAAAGTTTAACATGTTCGAAATGAATCACGAAATGGAAAATTGTATTAGTCATCGTCATTATATGACTCATAAATGAAGACCATGGGTGAAAGTTGGATCGTGTCATTTTCGTTTCTTATGGAGGATCAATTTTAAGGCAACTTCGAGTCTACCAGCTTGATTCAAACGTTATATGTAACTTGTACTTTCTAATCATCTCACAATAGAATTTGAAGAATTTTAAATATAAATACAATGCTAATTCAAATTGAGTGGCACTGGCAATTTTTATGTGTGTAATTTCTTTTCTTTCGAATTAAAATCACAACTCGTATTTACACGCGAATTACTCGGGAATATATAAATATCGAGAATGACTCGAGAATGTTTTATAAGACAAGAGAGGTTAGTTTATCGTACATTTCCAGGGGATGATGTCGCATCGTTTTATGGACTCGTGATTACTTCCGGTGATACGTTCGATGTACATCGCGAGCGACGAGCTCGATTTTATCGTGATACATTTATTTGCGTTTCCGGTCTGCTCGCCAACCGGTTTGTCCAACAATACATAACGAGAATACAACCACGTAGGCAGCTGACGATTTATATAATAAAATCGATCGATCACGATAAACCGCGGACTCTATTTCTGCTTTCCATCTTGATTTATCCTCGACATTGACGAAGTGGTTTTTAGAAAATTTGTGCTGATGGATAAATGGTTTGAAAAAAAAAAACAAAGCCGAGGTTAATTGCATTATGGTAGCTCCTGCGTTCTGATATTGCTTTCGTTTTGATCAACGATTTTTTTGTTACTCTATTTAACAAGAGAGACTTCAATGTGATTGAGAAGTCAAACATATTAATTACGATTGTTTTACACTTTTTTTCTCAAAAGTTGAGGATCCTTTTATCGATAGAAAATTACGACGAGATTGGAAATTACTTAATACGTTACTTAATTTAGATCCGACAATTTAAAATAAGCTATTTAAACAATATCTAAATTTATTTGATCAAACGATTCTTCAATCCTAACAAACGTTCCTATTTCTTTACTCGAAAAAAATAAATTATTCATTGAACTGTTAATTAACAATCGGCAATATCAAACATTCGATCAGTTGTGTTGATAATAAATATTAACAAATATAGAATTTTTACCGTAAATATGAAAATAAATACAAGATCGATCAAATAAATTGAATGAATCAATTAATTAAATAAGATAGATAAAACTATTTGTTAAATTATTAATTCATAATGAATATTTCCTCGTAAGTATAAAAAAAAAAAAATATAAGACAGACGACATGAAAGTGAATATAAAAATCTGGAGAAATTCATAAATTCGACAATTCTTTTGATTCTACCTTGATTGTCGCGATTACTGTTGATGTCGTACGTCAACATATGTAGAATCCTGATTCAAATTCCTCTAAGAGAAACTAGAGTCGAAGAGGAAGCAATCAGAATTACACTGCCGACTCAATTAAAACGGAGGTATCTCTGTTTGACGAACAGAAAAGCTAATTAGGCGCGATCTGTCCAATTTCCATCAGCGAGGACTTTACATGACTTGTCAGGCCTTCATTCTTGTTAACCGCGAAGGCATAACTGATTCACAGGAATTAAGTCACTTTCGTTTTAACCTGCCTGAACGGAATATTAACGATGAAGTGGTAATTCGTGTTGTAACAGCCACCCTGCTTGGCTCGTGTTGAACACGTCGCGAAAATTGCTGAGAATTGCTCACGAACCTGACGCACGACAGTTTCTCGTTTCTCAGCTTGAGACTGGGTTCGACTCGAGGGGATCAAGTAGATCGTACGTACGTTTTTGTAAAAGCATTCTCTGAAAAAACACGATCGACAGATCGTCGATGTATCTCACGAGCGAAAAAGCTCACGAGCTTTGTCATCCTTCCTCGCGATTTCTATTTACTGTCGAAGAAGATCGAAACACGGCAGTCGCGAAAGTAATCGAACAGTTGTAGAAATCTTCCTGCGAGTGTATACGTGTATTATACATGGGAATTACCGGTGTACATCTCGAGAGATGAGCAAACTCATCGAGAGTCGTGCAATAATTGAAGTTCCTCAAAGTTTCACAAAATTGTAAAATCTAGGCGACGATGACAGTGAAAAAAAGAGATTAGGCGAATGTTTGAAGCGAATTTCTTTTGAAGTGAAAGTACAGAATTTGATGTTATAAATTAATTTGAAAAGTATAATGAATTAAACGTTGGTTTTTAATCAACTGCAATGTTGGGAACTACCGTTTGTATAATTGAAATTAATCTCTCTTCTGTTATCATAAACGTGTTTTAAAATTGATAAGAAATAACAATGTGAAAATTTAAGAAGAAAAAAATTGATTTCTTCTCTTTTTGCCACCAGGTTGGAAACGAGGCTCGTCACGAACATGTCAATGGATTAAACAGTTGATTATTTATCGTGATTATAAGAAATTCTGTAATAAAATAATAACACACTCTCTAATATCATCACTATTTTTAACAATCCTCGCGTGCACTAATTTTTTAATAATTCACGCTTAACCAATATATCACAACAGTCATTAAGGAAATTTCACAATGTTTCACGTAAGATAGACACGAAAGTTTCTCTACGATAAGTATTCAAATACTAATACGTAAGCTACGAAATATACACGAAACGAAATACCCGCACAATCTCAGTGGGAATAATTCGATAAATCGACGTGTTTTTTCTTCTTCTTTTCTTTCTTCCAGATTCACGAGAGTCGATGAGCATGAAAGCTTAGCTGGAACACAGCTGGCGGCTCGTGGCAAATTTTCCTGGTAAAAGATCGGTAACCTAGTTCGCGACATTCCGCGATGTCTCCGTGTTATTATGCGTTTCTCACGGGACGTTTTTGCCCCACGCAAGAAAGTATGTATCTTGGAAACAGTGATCAACAGATGTTCCAACGAGCCACGCAAAAACAACAAACCTTCAACCTGGATTACGATCGCGTTCCGTGTCTGTTACCGCGAGTTTCTTGTGAAAAACTTTCGTGTATACTAAATATCAATACGACGCGAGAGAGGATTCTGAGACCGAGCTGAAACACGTGGCAACTAGAAAATATTAGGTCGCTCTATTCACTCGTAACATTTCTCCTCAAAATGTGAAAAACTTTCGTCTATATTAAATATCAATACGCGAGAGGAGAACAAGCTGAAATATGTACGTAGACCTAGAGGACATATTAGGTCACTTTATTTGCTCGTAAATTTTCTCTTTAAAGAAGGTAAACGCGATAAATATATTTCTGTTCGGTTCACTGATTCAATTTTTGCAGTTAAAAGAAAGAATTTTAATACGACACAACCGAAGTATTAAATAAAGAAAGTAAATTTTTTGAAAACAGTCAAAGAGAACTGCTTAATTAACAATTATATCCTTTGTCGCGACGAAACGAATAATTTATCTAATTCTACTTCCAACAGCGCTGATTTATTGCTCGATTTGCCATAGAATAGTATCTGGAGTGCATGGTATCGAAAGAAAATTCAAGCAAATTACAAGACAACTTGGAGAAAACTCGACTCACCGATTTGAAGCAGCTCTCTCACGTTCTACGCAGCGGAGCGTTCACCCTTCCTTCATTCTTCGTCCATTCCACCGGATCCAGGATCCTCGGGCAAAGAAAAACCTCTGGTCCCCGCGAGAACCCAGACACTCGGATCTCCTCTGTTCACGATCACATGTGCCACTGAACTCCGAGGAACCACCCCGGTGCGCGTTCGTTCTCCTGGTCGAAAGGTGAAACCCAGTCGGATCCAGTCTGACTGGATGACTGGACGTCTCCCCTGCTGGATGATTCACCTGCTGGCTGGCTTCTTCACGGAAATCGATTCACCGTCTACCGATCGGAGCGGAGAGAGAGAGAAAGAGAGAGAGAGAGAGAGAGAGAGAGAGAGAGAAGCTCTAGAGACACGTTTCGACTACTGTTTTCAAACGACGTTCAATTAGGATCGGATCGATGGCGATCGGGATCGTTTTCCCTCGTGTAACTCCGAACGGTCGATCATCCACGATCGTAGTCACGTTTCACGGCTAGATCCTCCGGGCTGAATGAAGGGGGGGATCGATCGATATCAGGCTCCCGTTGATCGGTCGGTTGATCGCGATCCACGGAGGCAGAAGCCACGTCGGGCTCCACGTGCACGCGGTTCGACTACCGGTCGCGCTTTGAGGATCGGCTGATTGCGTCCAGCGTGGACGAGGAACTCGTGGCGGAGAGTGGGGCGGCCGCGTGCCTCCAGTTAACCACGTGTCGTCTCCCGCCAGGAATACCGGCTGTGATTTTCAACCTCGTTCGTCTGTCTCTTCAAGAAAATGTTATCATTAAATCTCGATATCTCGAATTCGAATTATCTTTGTGCGTCATTTTCAACGCTAGAACTACCAAAGTGTTCGAAACGACGAATCTATAATTTTTGTTAGACGTGAACCAGTGTATTGTAAGGTTACTCCATTTTTTTTATTTATTTTTTTTTTTTTTTGTCTTCAATGTCCCTGATGAAAATTTCTTTACTTTAATAGTCGGTAGTTCTAGTGTCAATTAAAAAAAAATGCTTCAAGGAAATATTATTATAAAATTATTAAATTTCTCGAATTCGATTCTCTTCGTGTCTTTTCTAATTAGAAAAAAAAAAGTTGTTTAATTGATTTACGAATGTTTTAATAAATCAAGTTTTTAGTATATTTTACTCGTCATCGTATCTTTTAATTAGAAAAAAACATCATTCAAATTTTTGGAATTTCATTGTCTTCGTAGCTTTTTTAATTAAAAAAGGAAGCTGTTATTGAATCGAATTTTTGAAATTTGACACTGCACATTAAATCGAATATTTCAAGCTTCATCGTCCTCGCGTCTTTTTAATTAAAAAAGTAGTGTTGTCAGATCAAATATTTCAGACTCTATTTAATAAAGGAAAGGAGATGCTATTAATTGAAACTTTTAAAATTCTTTTGAAACAATAGCCATATATACATACGCGGTAAAAAATGTTTGAAAGAAGATTGACAGTGGATGAAGAAGTCGAGGCACAGTGTCGAGAATAAATTAACGAAAATTGTCACGGCCACCAGTAACAGGTGTAAACGACACGGAGTACAAGCCGATACTGTACGAACGACGACCGATCCGAGGTTTAACAATCGCAACGACACCGATGTCGCATCGAGGACAGACGAAACGAAACGTAAACAGCCGATAGTGGCACGGGCCTCGACGATCGAAAGGAAAATTTCTACCGGTTAATTTCTTCGACTAGAAAGACAACGTTTGTGCCTGGAATTAATCGTGCGAACCGTTTCTACGATTTAATCGGAGTATGAATATTAATATCTATAATATATTATATATATTATATCATTATATGTTATATCATATATATTATATTATAATACTAATATCACTAATTAAAACTATATTGAGTTTATTCTCGAATTTATAAAAATTTTTATCATGATAGTGTGCGCTGTTTCAAGTCGGAGATTTTTGATAAAAGAATATATAAACAATGTCTAAAAAACAATGTATTATATATATTATATTATAATACTAATATCACTATAATACTAATTAAAACTATATTGAGTTTATTCTCGAATTTATAAAAATTTTCATCACGATGCTTTTGATAGTATGAACTGTTTCAAGTCAGAGATTTTTGATGAAAGAATATATGAACAATGTCTAAATGATTTAATTGAGATAATATTTAAATCACTTGCTTCGCTTTGATCTCAAGTCCCTCGTACGAAATGACATTAAAGATCTCGATGATTTTTATCAAATTGAAAAGGAAAGACGAAAAGTCTTTCGGAGCAAGCATAAACTACATTAGATTAATTATATGTCAATTTATTTATAAATTAATATTAATATCAGTTGGCTTAATTATGTTAGAAATCCATGTTTCGCGCGACTTTTGGTTAGCAAACATATTTTTTAGAATACGAACGAGGTTAGTGTCTTTCAAACAAAATCATTCAAGCAATCTTCAGCTCCAGTCTTTAAAATTTTCTCATCTTTGATACTGAAAATTGCACTTGCTTTACACAAATTTTTCTTATCCTTTTTCTTAAAGTCTGCCTTTTTCGGAACCTTAATTGAAGAGTATTTGTAGAAAAAAATCGCAAGTGCCAAACGTGCCAAATTTTCCTCCAGGTGGAAGAAAAATGTCGTCGAATCCTAAGTCATTTGCCAGCGCTACTTGATACGCTACCTACGAAGAAAAAATTCCATGCAACAATATTCTCGCTAGAACGGAGATTTTCTCAACAAAGAAAGGAAATCTTCCGACAGTTGGTACGTGCTATCGTTTCTGCAAATGCAATCTCTTCAATTACCGAGCAGGGAGGCTGCGTCGCTTTGCGAAACGTGTACACGGTATTCGAAATACCTCACGGACGTATCGAAAGGGGAAAGAACAGCGGACAAAGAACGGCGGAGGAGAGTGGCGGAGGAAGGGTGAGGCAGGGAGGCGCCGTTATACGACGCAAAGAGAAGATCGTAGATATATTTACGTACGTAAGGTGTACGTGTACGTACGTAACTGCCTACCAGTACGGTCCCTCTCGCCTTTGGGCCACGAAGTGGGTCGACCTCTTGGAGAACAGTCGAGGCCGACGGCCTCCTCTCGCGCTACCTGTCTCGCCTGGACGTCTAGTCCTGGCATCTCCTCCCTCGATGGACGTCGCTGCGAGCCATCGTTCCAACGTTCGCCTCCCGATATCCCTCTCTTCGTCCTTAGGACATTATCTCGCCTATCGAGATCGGATAAGATTAGGCGAATGAGAATGGAACTCGACTGGTATCTACGGGATATCCCGTATTTATTTCCGTGGAGAATTATTTATCCGGTTTGGATCGTTGCACGAGGGATAGCTGACCTTCGGGGATTTAATGGGCAGAGCGGCCAGTTCGTCTTTGTCGCCAGCATGATCACCATTTTTACGACAGCGTAACAATCTCGACGCATGGCACATATCCGATAAAATATACTCGTTTGTCCCTTGGGAACTGATTTATTTCATTTAGCGGATACGACCTTCTGTCGCTTGTGAAATTAACGTTTAATAATTTCAACTCTCAACGCCATCTCTCAACGACTCGTGTTGAATAATAGTGCTTTTTGTTATTATCTACATTTCTCGTCCGTAGTGACACTCTTTTATTACACGTTAGAAGGAAACGATCAACAGAATTTCGTGTTTAAATACTATTTTCAATACTATATCATTTCATTTGAAGTAACGATGCTATAAAGTGAATAAATTACTGGTATGGATGATAGAAAAGAAGTTTGTCGAGGGTTGATACCGCGTTCCAGTAAGAGTTCAACGTATGTCTGCTACAAGTCGTGGCACCATTGGTGCAGTCGTTCTTATTTTTATTGTGAAATCGAGCGAGGTAAAAGGAGCGGGAACGCGACGATGCCAGGCCAAGAGAGGAGGAAGATGGAAAGAATAGGAAAACGAAACCGCGCCTTCCCCTTGGCCGAGAATCATTAATATTCCAGCGCCGACTGATTTCTACGAGGAGTTCTCTCCAATTGATTCTTGAACATCGCCGCGGCTTTGGACAGAACCGAGACCGCGGTCTACGCCTCTCGACGCCACTCTCACCAGTTTTTGAAGTTTTCGCTCTAGTTCGCTGGCCTAACGAGTAACCGTCTTCTGCCAACCGGCAAGAAAAATTTGCTGCGCAACCACGTCCCCGTTTAATTGTTTCCCCCTATTGACCAACTAATTATTCGTTTCTTTCATTCCATTTCGAATCGTGCATCCGTTGCATAAATTACTGCTTCTTTCGTACAACGTTCGGAGGTTTTATACTGGAACGACCGAGCTGGTCAATGTGATGGATTTCAGGTTTCCTTTTTTCACAATTGACGATTGATTGATCAAAAGGCGAAAAGGTATTTTTGTCGAACTTAGTATCGCGTTCTGTTGTACAAATTTATTCGTTTCAATTATTATTATATTATATTATTATATTATTATATTATATTATTTTATTATATTAGTATATTATTTTATTATATTATTATATTATTTTATTATATTATTATATTATTATTATATATTATTTCATTTAAATTGCAATGATTTGTGATGTGATATTTTCACTTAACGTATTAAAGACCAGTTTTTCTAGCATTAAATAAATAGCAGATATACGCATGTATTTATTTGAAAAGTAATTAGGAAAGTACGAACACTTTTTGAATTTTATAAAGAAATATGCAAATCATAAGTTAGAATATAATGAAAGATTTAAAAACTTAGAGATAGTCCAGCGAAAATGGACAATGAAAAAATAACGTTCGTAATATCTTTTTCAATTTAAAAAACTATGTCTTTGAGTCTGAGAATTTATGCACCCACTTTTATAAAAAAAAGTATAGTATTTTCTACTATTTGACAAGTACGTAAGTTGGTTATGTTATTGCATTTGGCAGCCAATTTAGAAGTCAATTTCACGTCTGACGATATTTAGCAACGACAAAGTTTATTCGTCAGACTAATTCTGCGATTGAATTACACTCTGTCGAAGGTAAACGATAGTCCGAGTATTTTTTAGCAGTGTTGGACGCCTTCCATTTTATTTCCTTTCCATTTGATTATTCCGTGAATATTGCAGCAACGTCTGTGGCTCGTCCGTAGCTTCGAGATAATAGCATTTGAATATTTACTTTCCCCGAAATTGCTCGTTCAACTCGAGCGATCTAATTACTTTGCAACGGCACTGCTGCAATATAGCCATTTATTACGGAACATCCGAGTTTTCTTTTTCAATAGCATCGTATCATTTGTATTTACATTCAGTTCTAAAGAGTTTCGGTGCTTGCCAATATTTGTCGATCAACAAATGTGACCGAAATTCATATTTTAGCATTTAATCATTCAGTTGAAACTATATACAATACTACTAAACTTGAGAAAACAGGTTGTTATTAAATGTATAGACGATTAAATTAGGACCTCTATTGAGATTCTTTAAGTAAAGTGTATCGTATAGCATATACTAGTTAGGCAAATAGATAAATTGCCTTCTGTGGATTTTTATACATTTTATAAACTTTCAAAAACATAATTGAAGAAACGTAACTTGTACAGAATATTCTTCTATTAAATATGTATGTAGAAATTTTCTATTAAATATTAGAATAGATACTCTATTTCGAACATGTTATATATTTTTGCTTGTTACATGCAATGTGTGCATTCTTGCGCTTTCAAATTTTCCATAAATGCATAAAGATCCGGAGTTTAATGATCATGTGCACATGTAGATAATTAAATTAGGAATATA